TAACAGTATAACATAAATTAATGACCCACTCTGGCTGCAATTAAAATATGGTAATAAAATTCAATATTAAAACTTGTTAAAATATTGATTAAATAAAAAGGTCTTAACCTGGCGCTGAAAAACATATAATGACGGCGCCAGGCGGACCTCTCTGGGGAGCGCATTCCATAGTTGGGGCGCCACTGCAGAGAAGGCTCTCCTCCAGGTACTCTGTCTTCTAACATCTTTCACAGAGGGTTCCCGGAGGAGGGCTTCTGCAACCGATCTCAGGGGGTGGGAAGACAAATAGGGAAGAAGGCGTTCTTTAGGTATCCTGGTCCCACGCCGTTTAGGGCTTTATAGGTAATAACCAGCACCTTGAATTGAACCCAGACTTTGATGGGAAGCCAGTGGAGCTGATAGAGGACTGGTGTTATATGGGAATAACTCCCAGTCCCCGACAGCATCCTGGCAGCTCTGTTTTGCACCATCTGAAGTATCTGGACTGTCTTCAAGGGCAGCCCCACGTAAAGCGCGTTACAGAAATCCAACCGGGAAGTAGCCAATGCGTGTGTTACTGTAGCTAGGCAATCTTCCTCCAGGTAGGGATGCAGCTGATGGATTAGCCGAAGCTGAAGGAAAGTGCTTCTTGCCACCGCTGTCGCTTGGGCTTCCAAGGACAGCTCCAGGTCGAGGAGCACTCCTAAGCTGCGGGCCCTGTCCTTTAGAGGGAGTGCAACCCTGAACTGAATAAAGTTGGTTGATAGTGTGGTTGGACAGAGGAGCTCCAGCCTGAAACAACAGAAGTCCAGGCTCAAATTTGGAAGCCTCACTTTGGGTATGGATTCCAAATTGGCCCCCTGCGCACGAACCAGCTTGCATGTGGCTCACTGTCGTTTAAGAGCTGAGCTGGAAGGAGTGGCCAACGGCTTCCATAGCATCCGTATGCCATTAACTCAGGGCACTTCTCAACCATAGTAGTGCCTGAGTGTCTCTACCTATTCTACTCCTTCAGCTGAAGGCAATCCTTAGCTTGTTGACAAGTTCTGTTGCCCTTTCTAGAGAACACTTTTGCTTAACATTCTTGTACTGCAAAGAATAATAGCCTTCCAACCTGGAGAAGAGATTGCCCATCATAAATAATCAAAGGAGAAGATGAATGCTTGCAGAGGGGATGCATTTGTAATCATATACTTTGTGTGCCCCGAATACCTATGCCATGAGACATCATATCTCATTCCGGGACCATTCATAGAGATGGTCTTATTAAATCACTTGTCATTTTAAAAATGTATTGACAGAATTAAGGTGATGGATGTATTTTTTATTCCTAACCCTTAGAAAACTGTGGAATACTAGGTTGCCTTTCTTCCCAGCAGGAACCCTTTATGGGCTGGCTTTTATGTTATAGCTTTTTCTGAGTGGTTCAAGAAAGTTATAATGTTTTATGTTGCATTTTAAGCAACCATGTTTCTTCTTTCGGTTTCACAAGTCTCCATTTTGCTTATTCTCCTAACACATCTTATTTTTACTGTGTATTTAAAACAATATGCTGAACAAGCAAGCAATCTCTAAGCGTACTTTAGCCTCAGTGCATTTACATGAAGGCTGGATGATTGTTCTGGTCACCTTGTACATAGTAAGATACCAACAGAAAGGGCACAATGAGAAAAGTTAGAAACCCGGGAAACTACCTGATTCTGCATCAGGCCGTTGATCCATCCAATTCAGCACTGTCTACACTAACAAGAACATCTTCTCCATCGCTACCTGGAGGTTGAAACTGGGGCATTTTTGTTTGTGTGGTTATTTGTCCATCTAACCCTGCCTGTTCTCAGGTGGAGGTCTTTATCACCTGCTCCCTAATCCTTCTATCTAGAAATGACAGGAAATGGACCTGAAATTCTCTGTGTGCAAAACATGTGGTTCACCACTGAGCCATTGCGTGTTCTTCTTGGAAGGAATGGTGACGGCGAGGACAGCATAGAAAAATGCTGATGGATTTAGAGGAAATACAGCAAGGCTTCAAGGAACAAGCTGACAACTCAAAATATTATGCCCAGATACAGAATATAAACAGACAAAAATCTGAAAAGCCACCTCTACGCAGAGCTACTCTGCCTTGAGCCTGGTTTTTGTATACCTGGACTGCAGCCAGAGTTGGAGGAATTTGCAATGCTTCCGACATTCTAGGTGTTGGTTGAAAAAGGTGCTATAAGAACCTGGGACCATCTGATACAAAATGTATGTGGCTTATGGCAAAATTATTTGGAACCACATAACTGATGGGATATGAGTGATGGCTCTCAGCTTATGTACTTCAGCACTCAGTGAAGTGAAAGAGAGCCTCCTTCTTCTTCAACCTGGAGCTATTTGCTGAATTAAAGGCTGGAAGTATCTAATAGGAGAAAGAGGGGGAAAGGGAATCATAAAGGTGATAAGTTGCCTACTACCATGCTTGAGGAAACCATAATGACTTGCATTAACACAGTTGCCTTTTATGCTTTCCATGAAAATGTGCCACAGGTTTCTTCACTGAGCAGTTGATGTGCATTTTAAAGCCATTATGGCCTCATTGTACACACCAGACATTATTAACAACAATTGTTATGAGCTATTATCTGAGGTGTTATATGATTAGTCTAGGACTTGCAAAGGAATGAGAACAAAAAATAACCAGATGCTTTTCCAGCCCAGCTTCCTTATATACAAAAAATAAGGAGCCTAGGGATGATTTCTTAATGTACAAAAAATAAACACATGCACGTTTCTAGACAATTTTGCAAGATTGTCTACTTCTTGGTTATCCTTTTTGCTGGGAATCCTAACAGATGTTAGAGCATGCCAAAGAATGCTTCATTGCATCACACGGGCAAATCAATTCATGCTACAGTGACAATGTAAAAAAAAAAAAATTGTCATTTTAATTGTCCCTTAGAATTCAAATGGCCAAATTATCATGAAAGCAGAATTGCAGGAGAAAGTGCAAGTAAGCAGGGAGATGAGGATCCAAGGGCCGGAAATCAAGATAAGCAAATTCCATTTAATTTACGTACCAAATCGTGTTAGGCTATTATTCCCCAAAGGCCCTCTTGAAGTCTGGAACTATTCTGGCATTATTCTGGAGAGAGATATGATAGTCTCACAACCTTGTCTGTCCACATGCATATGCAGAGTATTCACGTTTGGTTTATGATCATATCTGAAAAACTTGAAGTAGAGGTTTTTTGGCCAGTGAAGTTATATGCTGATTTTCTACTTCACCGTACAAATCCTTGGGTGAGTGTTACCCTAACTTACCTCACAGTGCTGTGAAGATGAGGTAGAACCCAGAGATCCCTGGCAAAGGAAAAGCTTTGTGATTTATAATGGCATAATACTGAGTACTGATAATACTAAGAACTGATGCTTGGGTTTTCTTCTTTCTTCTCATGTATTTTCCTCCTATTTGTTTTGTGTCGTGTGCGTTACTAGATTTTAAGCCACAAGGCAGGGGCTGTCCTGTTTGTACTGATCTATAAACTTCTCTGGGAGTCTTTCTTTCTGAAGAGTAGGGTGTGGGTGGTTACGTGCTGTCAAGTTATTTCCCACTTATTGTGACCCTATGAATGAAGACCCTCCGAGATGTTCTACCCTTGACAGCCCTCCCCAGCTCTTGTAAACGCAAGGCTGTGGCTTCCTTCATGGAGTCGATCCATGCCATAGTTGGGCTTCCTCTTCTTCAGCCTTCAGCCTTTCCTAACATGATTGTCTTCTCCAAGGAGTCATGCCTTTTCATGATGCATGTTCAAAATACCAGCCTCCGTTTCGTCATTTTGGCTTCCACGGCAAGTTCTGACTTGATTTGACCTTGGACCCACTTGTTTGCCTTTCCGTCAGTCCAGGGTATTTGTGGTGAAGAGTGGGACACAAATGCTGTGGATAAATAATGAAAGGATGAATAAGGAGCTCAGTTCACGACCCCATTAAAAATAATAGAGGTGGGAAAGTTTGATGTCTAAGACACTGAACAGCTACCGCACATCCATAGGCACATCCAGTAATGTGACTCAGTGTGTTTTTTAAAAATACATTGTTCATAAGCTAAATATGATAAAATTGTATCATATATATTCACAATATATTATGTCATGATATATATTGTATAATCATAATAATTGCTATAGATGTTACCCAATGCATACTTTCCTAGGAGCATCCACATTTTTTGTGTGATTGTGGCCTTCAGAGACTGAATGGCAGAGAGAAATCTGACCAAAACAAATCCATCTTCACTCTGACATTTTCCTGCTGCAAATTACAGGAACAGTTCTGTGGTTTGAGAGAAACCCAGAAAGCATAGATTCATGCAAGGCATGTGAATGGCTCTGCACATTAGAAGCCAGGTGGAGTATGCTTCCACAAGAGGTTGTTGAGGCCCCATCGGTGCGGGTGTTCAAGGATAGGCTGGACATGCACATGGTGGGCATGTCGTGAGCGGAGCCAGCTGGAGCTGGGAGTCAGACTAGATGGTCTGGGAGACCCCTTCTGACTCAGAGTTTCTATGTTTCTATGCTGATACCCCTTGGCCATTTATTCCTTTCACCATCTTCATTTTGGGACATAGTTGGTGACATCAAACCTCTTCACAATTCCAAAAGAGATGGCCCAGGAATGAGTAGGCTCAAGAATGAGAGAGAATCTCGTTCAGCCTTCCTCAAACAGGTTTCCTCCACATTTTGCATTTGAACTCCCATCACCCCCACCTGGTGTGGCCAATGGCCAAGAAAGCTGGAAGTTGTAGTTCAAAGCATCTGGAGAGCACTGGTTGTTGAAGACTGGTCTACCAGCTCCCCCTGCCAACACTGGGCTTCCTAGTGAGGTTGTAAATGTGTAAGTTGTCCTAAAACAAAGGCGTCCCACTCTTTAGACCTGGCACACTGCTACTAAAGCATATAATCTAGAACCTGGTGATTGCAGCCTCCCTTTTTGTTAATGTTCTGAGACAATATAATAGAATGACTTGTTTCCTCTGTCTGTAGTGCCTACACAGAGCCTTACAAGGTGTGCCCCATCTCTGTGATTCCTGTGGAAGATGTTACATCTGATGAGGAACAGAAAAGTTCTGGAGATGAAGACAGTAACCAGGGGGATTCCAATCCCATCCACAAGGTAACGGGCCAAAGTTTGTTTGTTCGTTTAATTTTGGAGCAGATCAAGTGACAAATCAAATCCATCTAGGGACGTGCAACAGAATTTTCCAGGTGACTGGATTGGCCAACTGCCTGCAGCAACAGCATGTCACGCACCTGTATCACATCTCTCCAAACTTCAGTCAGGATCAGGTGTGGCGTCAGCATTTCAGGGACAGGCAGAGACAGCACTGGCAGGTCTTTCATTCCTAACGACATTGCTCCCATTTAAGTGAACACCTTCTGTTGTGCTCCCAAGTTCAGCCAGAGAAGGACCATGACATGGCTGATAACAAGTGGCAGCCCCTGAGGCAAAGCTGGGCTCGTGAGAGCTGCCATCTGCACCTGGACAACACCCACCTGAGTCCCCCCTTCCACTTCCAGAAGCAGATGCTTCCTGCCATGAAAAGACGAGGCGGAGGGAGGGAGATAGGTGTGTACATGAAGGAGGAACACAAGAGAGGGCCTGCCCTATTCTTCTGTCTTCTCCTCTTGCTCTCATGCAGAACTTTTTTCTCATAGCTGAAATGTTTCTGCTGGAAGGAGAGTCAGCATGGGATGGTAATGAAATTGCTGGATTTGGTCTTAGGAGTTCCCACATTACTCAGTCGTGGGCTCTCAGCCTCACAAGGTGGTTGTTTTGAAGCTTAAATGGAGAGAAGAACCTTGTAAGCTGTCTTAGGTTCCTTGCAAGAGGAGAAAAGGCAGGATATAAATGTAATGCGATACTCATACTAATAACAATAATCGGGCAACTGTGAACAGGTGAGATCACCACTTGCCGAGCATCAAACATACACAAATCTTTGCATAATTTTATATAATTATATAATTAGATAGTATCAGATGGGCAAACCCTAATAATGTGACTTCAGTTGGGGAATATATTTATTTATTTAAAGGTTTATAGACCACCCCAGCAGCTTCCCAGGGTGGCTTACAAAAAAAGTTGCAATTAAATTAAACCAAATGAAAATCAAAATATTCAGCCAGTAACATGAAAACACTCCCTCTGAAGGAGCAGGTTCGTAGCCTGGGTGTGTGTGTCACTTGAGGCCCAGATGGTTCCTGTGGCTCAGAGTGCCTTCCACCAGCTTTGGCTGGTAGCTCAGATACACCCCTGTTTGGACAGAGAGAGCCTGCTATCAGTGATCTATGCTATGGTAATCTCTAAACTAGCTCAGTAGCTTGTGCAAAATGTGGAAACCAGACTAAGAACAGGGATCAGATGACCTGATCATGTAACACCAAGTCTAGCCTGCTTGTGCTAGCTGCCCATATCCTTCCAAGCCCAATTCAAGGTGCCGGTTTTAACTTATAAAGCCCTGTGTTCATGGCTTGGTATCATGATACCTGACAGAGTGGCTGTCCCAGCCTTCTTCTACCCAGACACTACAGTCAAGTTCTGGGGCTTATCTCTGACTGCTGCCTCCCAGGGAGGCTTCGTTGGTGGACTTTTCAGTGGCCTTTTCAGCTAGATATTTCTGACAGGATTGGAAAGAATTGGTGGCATATCTCTGATATTAGAACACTTAAGTGCTTCAGTCAGTGATCTGACATGAAGCTTTCATACAAAACCAGAACAGACCGAAAGCCTCCCCCACCCTGTTTCCTGTGGGAATTTTAGCCTTCTCACCAAAGAGCAATGTTTGACTGATGAGCACAAATTAATTGCTTGGCTAAGCAGCAAAATACAGACTGGGTTCATACAACACGACAACCTACCATAGAAAAGTAGGCACAGTAGGTTATTGGTTGTCTAAACCTGTACCAGTTCCTACAGAGTGGCTGATTTTTCAGTAAGCATTGCCCAAGCAACACTTTGGAATGAGCGTCACCAGTTTAGCACCTTAAAAAAAAAACCAGTCCCAGAAAGTTGTGCAACTGAGACTGTTAGTGATGGTGGTCTTTCACAAGTGCACACTAATACCTGCCTAATACGATACGTGTAGCGTTGCTTTGTCAGTGGCGTTGTGAGTTCCAGCTGTCAAAGGGAATGGGGCAAGTAACATATTCACAGAGCAAGGGCAACTTGTATAGCGGCCGTGATCTAAGTACCTAGTCATTAGTTGAAAAGCACCGGTAAAGGGGGGAAGGCAGCAAAATGGGATGGCAACAATATCACCCACATAACAGTGTATTCATCTCAGTTTCAAGTGTCCACTGCCTTTTCAACTCTTTCCCAAATATTCAGCCACTCCAGAAAAGGGAGATATTAATTCCATCCCATTTGAAGCTCATTTACCGCCGTGGTTACAACAGTTACCTAAGTGTTAAAAAAAATCCCTCCATTTAACCTCTCAGGAAGCCTTGACTATTGGGTCATATAAAAATGAAATAATTAATTTACTGTCCATCCATGAAATGTTTATATATTTCTACAGAGTCTTGTAGAGCTGTCAGGGAGCAGGAGTAATCACAACAGTAATTTCTCCAAAAAAGGAGCTTTGGAAAGTGGAGGAAGTGAATAAATCCCTTTTCTGGACTAACTGAAACTTGGGGCAGTATTGAAATGGTTGGCCAAAGGACTATTTTGTTAAGAGTGTGATATCACTGTCTCCTTTCAATGCATCTACTTTTGTCAGTTTTTCCTCTTTACTGGTGCTTTTCAGTTGTCAATTAAGCACCTGGATCCTGGAAACTGTGCACAAATCAACCTATATTTAGTCTTGCCTAGTCAATTCCCTCATGAATAGCCTATTCCACTAACTAGCTTCCTTTGATAGCTAAAACTTCAGGAACATTGACAAGGCAAGTCTTGCATTTCAGACAGCAGAAGGACTGGCAGCAGCAGCAGCAGCAGCAGCAGCAGCAAAAGATCAAACATAGTTGCTCAATGTTCAGGGGCCAAGAAATTACAAACCCAATTCCATTTTTTGAGGGTTTGGAAAAGATCCCAGTGGTGAATGAAAAAGGGTAGCAATCCAAATGAGGAAGGCAAGACAAGGCAGATTCTGCTGCAGAGGATACTGGGATACCAGCTGGAGCACCGAGAGGGAAGAAGGGGCAGAATAAGCCACAGTGACCCTGATTGTCTGCTGGGTGCATCACGACTTGTTCCCCGAACAACCCACACTGCACAGCTTCTTTGCCGAGTAGCTCAGCCAGACAGAAGAATGTGCCCACACTTTCCCTCCTGAAGGAAAATCCCTAGGCCAGGATGCAATGGTTGATTTCAGTGTACCTTCCCAGAAGAAGAATTGGCAGACGTTGGTAGGTTCAGATGCCAGAAATAGTACCAGGGATTTGGAAATGAGCTAATCTTATAAAAACAGTGTTGGGTTGGTCTAGTGGCAAGAATGAGTTTTCAACTTTTGTTTTTTCTTTTTAAAAATGTTTAACTTCTTAATCTATGGCTTCCATCTCCCAGGGGCAAATCTGCTTGAATGAGATCACCTGCCAGATAAGATCTATGGTTTTATATGGAAAGTGTACTTTTAAAAAAAGAAGGTCCCACCCCGGGTAACTCTTCTTATTGTAAATAATGTTTAACAGTTGTTCTACTGAGGGTGGAAAGGATACGTTGTTCAAGAGACATCTAGCTCTCCCATTTTAATGAGTTTAGAGTCTCTTCTATTTGCTTAGGTGCAATGATTATAGCATATTGTTCTAGCACATTTTTATATTCCTAATCCTTTTTCTGATTCCTCTTCTTCCAGTTTTTCTCCTTTCTATTTTCTAGCCTAATCCTTCTCACTATTTCTAATCTTTCTCCACTCTGGGATTTCTCCCTCTCTCTTACTCTAGAATTGTTTGCTCCCCTCCACATGTTCCCTCTTGCATTGAGGTAGGGAAAAAATACAGTGTTTGAATTCAGTTCTTGTTCCTTGCAGTTCAGTTTTTTTTTTCTTAAGCAAATGCTTTCGTTATCATCTGCATCAATGTCTTCATCATCCTGTATTTTGTTTCTTGTCCTTTTCAGTTCTTCTGAATGTACTTATTCAGCTTTGCTTCCAATTTAAATTCCTTTTTCCAAAACATATTTACTGTACACACACACACACACACACACACACACACGTATGTCAAATTCTTTGGTGTGTGACACTATCTGGTGTCCACAGTTTTCGTCATGTGTTTAACTTTATCAGGAGTTTGAATCCATCCTTGACTCTTCCTGCAGTCTTAAGACTGCGTGACTCCAGTACATCTTTCATCTACTGTGCATGTTTCATTAGACCGTTAAAAAAGTACAAATTCATCCGCATTTTATCTTGGTGTGGGTGGGTTGTGTTATGGTATGTGTGTGTGTTTTAAAATACACACTCATTACTGCATGATCTCCAAATCTAGACAGCTTTTGAATCAGGCCAAACTGAACTGGGCCATTTTCCAATGAGGTGAATCAGGATCTGAGTCGAATCTTGTGGTCAGAGCACACCATATATTTCAGCTATCAATTTCGAGTCCTCATAGACTCATAGAATAGTAGAATTGGAAGGGGCCATGAAAGCCATCAAGCAGGACAACAATTTACACCATCCTGTTGATCTCAAAGGGAGAAAGCTAAGTACATACTTAAGTTTAAGTAAAAGTGGAGCCGATGGCAGTTGGCAGTCCTTAAACTTGGCTTTGTTGTCTATAGAGTCCTTGTATGCTTTCAGACATAGCCATTCCTGATTGTGCCATCCAGATCACCCCTCTGCAAATGTAGGGTAATCTTTGGCTCTTGCCAACTCTCTTTATACCAAATGCACCCGCAGCTGGATGTGTGCATTGGAGAGACTCCCTGTTAAGTTTCTGGTGTGTGACAAGCTCACCTCTCCTTTTTCCTCCCTTCCGGGCTAGCAACCCTGACTTGTTTCGCAATGAAGCAGGCTTGCCACACTGTTGTAGAAGATGGACTCTCCGTGTGGCACCAGCTTCTTCTGGACTGTGGAATCAGCAAGTGCAACCTTTACTTGTGTACCTGCACCTCCTCGCCCACCCTTGACACACAGACACATACGGGGTGCCAGCAGCTTGGAAGGCGCAATTCCG